AATGGATAAAACATCGAATGGACAAAAGGTCTTATTAAGCTTACAATCAAAAACAGGTCGAAATGGGGAGTAGGTCGAATAGACAAATAGATAAAAGGTCGAATTAACAAAGAAACTTTCGAATGCTTTAAGTGCACGGCTAATCAGAACGCCTCAGCGACTGAATTCAATTGGCTCAGAGCATTTTCTTACCATGCGAAATTTACTCATATTTGGGAAAACCTGCAGTTACTTATTAGCTTTGACAATATGAGTAAATTTCGTATGGCAATAAAAAGCTCTGAGTCAATTGAATTCAGTCACTGAGTCGTTCTGATTGACTGTGTGAGCGTTAGATTCCGTTTATCTGTCAGAGAGCTGCTCACGTTAACTTCAAGATTGAAAATTATGTTTTGATCTTTTCGGTTACGTTGCTCAAAGCCTAAGCTTGATTTACTTGCTTTACCCAGTATATTGCAGTTCCAACACGAAATTGACGTTTAAAGTAATTGTTTACATTTGGCCTAAAGGCCCTTTTCACACATTGCTCTAGAATTAATGGAACTGCTTTGAAGTTCCCTGATCAGCCATCAAGTAGTCAATCAAGTCCAGAAATTTCAAAACTTCTATAAAGTTTACTGGACTTCCCTAAAGATCTCAGAAATGATTTTTTTTTTAATTCCCTGAGATTCTAGTTAAGTTAATTGAACTGAACTGAGGTTCATTGATCTTCTCTGATGTTCTCGATGCAATCCGAAAGTTTATGCAAGTCACATAAAGTTCTTCATCTTAAGATGACTGGACTTCTGTTAAGTTCCCAAAATATGTCAGGACCCATGCATTAATTATGCCACGCTAAATCGAGCAAAAAATTACCCCCTGCCCCTCCTATCGTGACGTTCATTCCCCCCTCCCCCCTTAGAGCCTGACATAATATATGCATCAACCCTAAGAAGATTCCTAAATTTCTCTGGAGTTGTCTTGACTTTTCTAAAATTGCTAGAACTTTTAAAGTTTTTCGATTTTTCGAAAATTCGTGGAATACATAGAGTTGTCCAGAATTTATCGAAACCAAGGGGCAAGACAACATTGATATATTTATAAATACAACGAAAATATTTAAGAATTTACAAAAAATAAGGATTCAAAAGATAGAGCTTTTTGTGCTGAACAATGTTTGCTCATCGAATATGGAAAAATCAAACCATATTTTGATATATTCAGTCAAGCTGTCCCCCTGATCGAAACTAATGTTTACAAATGTTTATTGGGACTGCTGTTAACATTTCTGAGCTTGTCTGAAGATCCCTCTGGACCATGCTTGTCTGAGGTTCTTAGGATTTTCTCTAAGGAAACCTCAGTTTTTCTTAATTTTTTGGACTTCTCTGAAGTTTTCATAATTTCCCTTAATTTCTTAGAACCTCTTCAAAATTCCTGCAGTTTCCTTGAAGTTGATGGTACCACATTGAAGTTCCCTGAAGTGCCTAAAATGTTATAGAACTTCCAAGATTTTACCTTATTATCCCACAGTCTTTTCATGAAACTTCCCCGAAATCCTCGGTGTTTCCTTAATATTTTGGAACTTCTTTAAAGTTCCTAAAAATGTATAAACCACTTTGATGTTCTCTAATCTTTCCTGAAGTCATTGAAACTTCCCTGAAGTTCTCGTTATTCTTCTAAGGATGTTTCTGTGAAGTTTCCGTAATGATTCTTAAGTTTTCTTAACTGTTTGCTGAAATATCTTTAATTTTTGGAACTTCCTGATATTTATCGCTATTTTCCTGAATTTAATGGAACTGCCTGAAAATCCTTGGAAGTGGAAGCAGTACTATGACGAGCACCTCAACGGTGAAGCAGCAGAAAACGAAGGTGGAACGGCAACAGACCTTGGAGCACGCGCAGAAGACGACAGGCTACCGGCCCCTGATCTTCAAGAAGTTGAGGAGGAGATCGGTCGGCTGAAGAACAACAAAGCAACTAGTGTAGATCAACTACCAAGTGAGCTATTAAAATACGGTGGTGAAGCACTGGCTAGAGCGCTGCACTGGGTAATTGGCAAGATTTGGGAAGTGGAGATATTACCGGAGGAGTGGTTGGAAGGTGTCGTATGCCCAATCTACAAAAAGGGCGACAAGTTGGATTGCTGCAACTACCGCGCGATCAAACTGCTGAGCGTCGCCTACAAGGTGCTCTCCCAAATTCTATGCCGCCGCCTGTCACCATTTGCAAGAGAGTTCGTGGGGCAATACCAGGCGGAATTCATGGGTGCCCGCGCTACCACGGACCAAATTTTCGCGATTCGGCAGGTTCTGCAGAAATGTCGCGAATACAACGTGCCCACACATCACTTGTTCATCGATTTCAAATCCGCATACGACACAATCGATCGAGATCAGCTATGGCAGATTATGCACGAGTACGGATTTCCGGATAAACTTACGCGATTGGTCAAGGCGACGATGGATCGAGTGATGTGCGTTGTTCGAGTATCGGGGGCACTCTCGAGTCCCTTTGAATCTCAAAGGGGGTTACGGCAAGGTGATGGACTTTCGTGTCTTCTATTCAACATCGCGTTAGAAGGTGTTATCAGAAGAGCTGGGATAGACACGAGTGGCACGATCTTTGGGAAGTCCATCCAACTTCTTGGCTTCGCCGATGACATTGACATTACGGCACGGAACTTTGAGATGATGGCGGAAACGTACATCAGACTGAAGGCTGAAGCTAGACGGATTGAACTTGCCATGAACGCATCAAAGACAAAATACATGAAAGGAAGAGGTTCTAGGGAAGACAATGTTAGCCTCCCACCCCGAGTTCAGATTGACGGTGACGAAATCGAGGTGGTCGATGAGTTCGTGTATTTGGACTCACTGGTGACCGCCGAAAATGATACCAACAGAGAAATTCAAAGACGCATTATGGCAGGGAATCGTGCCTACTATGGACTCCGGAGGACGCTCCGGTCGAATAAAATTCGCCGCCGCACGAAGTTGACTATCTACAAGACGCTGATTAGGCCGGTGGTCCTCTACGGCCACGAGACCTGGACTATGCTCGTGGAGGACCAACGCGCCCTTGGTGTTTTCGAACGGAAGGTGTTGCGTACCATCTACCGTGGAGTGCAGATGGATGACGGAACGTGGAGGAGGCAAATGAACCACGAATTGCACCAGCTGCTGGGAGAACCATCCATCGTCCACATTGCAAAAATTGGGCGACTACGGTGGGCTGGGCACGTCGTAAGAATGCCGCACGACGACCCAGTGAAAATGGTTCTAGAAAGCGACCCAACAGGAACAAGAAGAAGAGGCGCGCAGCGGGCAAGGTGGATCGACCAAGTAGAAGGTGACCTGCGGACCCTTAGCAGACTACGAGGCTGGCGAACTGTGGTCATGGATCGAGTAGAGTGGAGACGACTTCTTCTGACAGCAGAGGACAACAAGGCATTAGCCTGATTAGTAAGGTATAGTAAGCCTGAAAATCCTCGAAATTTATCTGAAGCTTTAAGAACTTCCTTGAAATTCGTGATTTTCATGGAACTACTTTGAAGTTCTCAGAACAGCCCTAAAGTAAATGTTACTACTGTTATGATCTTTAAACTCAAATGAAGTTTCGGTAAGATCTGTCAAGTTCCTGTAATTTTCTTGATTTTTTTTCGGAACGGTTCCTGAAAGGTTCCTGAATCTACCGAAGCCTAATTTTATTCATCGCCGAATTTCAGCTCAAATGTGAATCAACAGCCATAAGATGATCGCAGTAGGCCGCGCTTGAAAGCTGACGTGTTTTTCTTTTGCTGCGTATTTTTCGTCAGCGAATTAAATATTTATTGCTTTAAATTTGTTAATTTGTGTGCTGCAATTTAGTTTCAAGTGTTCATAAAGTTATCATTTAGTGATATATCGTGTTTTGGCTGTGTTTGCCTTGAGTGACGCGGTTGACCTTAAATCTAACCTCCAAAATCTACGACGCAGCTTCAGTTTCATTATTCGGTGGCGAAAATTGGTTCTCCGAGTTCGGATGTCACATTTTCGGCGTGTAGTTCTGTTCTATTGAGAGATTCGTCACCGTGGGCGAGTTTGAACCGTCCGGTTGGTGAATTAGCCCGGGAATGTGCTGATAATGTGTCCGTCGCGAGTTTTGGTGGTGATTCGGTGACCGATGTTGCCGTGAATCAGCAAGTTTTCCACTATCGGTGTCGGAGATTGTGAGCAATATGAAAAATGTCTCGCTGGATACGCCCAAGACTGGACGGGTGGTAGCTGGTGGCCGCGAAAGGTTCCTGGGGAAAGCATTAGACGCGAACCTCCTCCCGTCCTCCCAGATGACCATGGCAATGCAAGGCAATTTGCATTCGTCGAAGGAAGTATTACAACAAAGGTGAATCACGAAATGAGATGCAAAGCGTAGAGAAAAATAAAACTACGGAACCCATGGATTGGAGGATCAAATTAACATGGTGAGACCAGTCCAAATACTTTTTATAATTTAAAAACATAAACTAAATACGTGCCAGGATTCAAAAGAACATTTTGAAACTGGAAGTGTGTGTGTAATACTAATATCCAATTGATAGAGGTAATACATACATGCGGGGCTTATTGTAAGTGAAAGTAACCTTGGAATGGGCGTGACTCTCCAGACATTCTGAAATGGGTTGCTGGATCTGCAATAGAGCTATCACTTTCTAACTCCCGGTCTAAAGCTGGCTACAATGACCATATATGCGACATTGTAGAGAGAGTTCTTCCATTATAACACTGCCGGCCAGAGGGAATACACACACACACACACACAGATGTGAATCAATAGCCATAACGAATAATAATGCAAATCGGAGAAGGTCGTGAGGATCGATTCGTCATTGGGATTGCTCAATTGTAAAACTCATGACCAGCACATAGCATTACATTAGCTCTTTCATGCTTTGATTGCTTTATTCCATTCAGTCGTAATCCTTAACTTTAGTATAAAACAAATTTGTAGAAATTTATACGCTTTAAACAATGTTTCGTAACCAGCATACTCTTGGCCGCCTGCTGCGCCAAATGATCGGACGTCAATTTCGTCGCTCTCTGCGCCATCTGGAGTTGATCCTCGGCGATATGGAAACCCTCCAACGGAACTTATATCGGTAGACAACAACTTACTAAATCCACTCTGCCAGTGGATTCTCCGTTGGCCGTTGGAATCGCTGCAACAGAGGAGCCGCTGTCGCGTTGTATGCCAGCTGGATTATATCGGTTACCACCTAAAATTTGATTCACCGTTACTTCACTGATCAATTGATCAATCCGGAATGGATTCAAACCTTTATCAATCCTCCGATGCCATTCGTTAAAATACTTGGATCCATTCCAGTTTTGATGACTTCCCGTCTATTTTGTGAACTTAACCTCGTGAAAGCAACTAACCAACTGATTGATGCAAAGCACGTAATGGACGCTGGCTAGCAACTGTTCTGCCTAGATTAACATCAACCATTCAGCAGCAATACATCACGTTAAGGTCAGGATAATTAAACTTAATTCAAAAATTAGTTAGGCAATACATAACCACCAACACTTAACCCCCTAGTTTCACCTGATTGATGACAACCCTTGCTTCTAAACTTTCAAATTTCGAACACCACTCGAACGCTTTGGCAACGCTTCCCCGAGTCGTTCACGCCCATGCCTCGTAACGGTTTCTTATCAGTCCCATATCGATTAAATCGTTATCTCTTCCCGTAAAGCGCTAGCTTCGATAAAAATGGATGTGAGTGATTCGAAGTAGTCATGCGTAAACACTCGAATCTAGCAGACAGAGCAAGTTTGGTTTGGTTGAAGTGATGTTCTTGAAACTCCAAAATACTGGATTTTACGATGACGACCGGTTCCAAAATTGAAGCACACCGGGAGCAGAGCGGCACAGTGGAGATGCGTTTCCACATCAAGTACAAACCGATCAAGTCACGCTCGAAGGCTTTCATACTGGCCACTTCGATACTGTCGAAATCGTTCATCAGGAAATATGGCATCCTGAGTATCATTATGTGCCTGGGACTGGGCTACCTCTTCTACAACCGAGTTTTGTACGTAAGTATCTTGTGTACGCAGTGCTAATATTGAACGCGCAATATTGATCGAAAAGCTTGGTTTCGTTCTGTTCTTTCGTCTCAAGCAACAATACATTTACGAAACACTACCTTTGTATCAAAAAAGCATCCGACTGCGGTTGGGGGAGTCTCCCAGTTTCGATGACCGATGGAAACCGATCGGAGATCCGTCTGCCCGGTTTCAGATCTATTCGGCTTACTTCGATCCGCGATTGGAAATTGTTCGTGAGTGTGGTGAACTTGAACGCAGCCGGATTGACTTTGATTGGTGAATCGATCTAATTTCAGACAACTTCCGGGTGGCTGATGGAGTTCTTCCGTTTGGAAGTGTTCGAATTTTCAGCATTCTGCCGTTGACGATCCGACGGAGGGATGTATTCTGTCATTTTAGGTGAGATTGGAAATGGTGAAGTTTTTAAAAGTGGTTTTTAGTTCGACTGTGGGTTATCGATTTCAGGTATGCAAACAACAGTACCGTTTGGCATCGGGCTGACCAGGTGGAATCTATTCACGAGAACTTTGGTATGACATTTTCGGCTTCGTACGTTGTGTGCAAGCTGGTTGGAAACAAACGGCAGGTGGAGATTGAACTTCCGACGGATGTTGGGTTGAGTTATGAACAGGAGCCAAGTAAGATGAAACCGACAAGCTTCGTCAGGATTCAGTAAGTATTTGTGAGGTAAAATAAGTACCTTACAACAAATTTCTTTTTTAAACCATCTATTTTCGAGTTATTGTTGTGTTGTTTAGTGTTCTACTAGTTAGTTGTTTGAAATAGTACTTTTGAAACCCTAACCCTAACAAACGATGAATTCTACCACCTTAAGGTGAAAGTGGATCGGTTTAGAATGACTCACTTCATCGATTTTTTTACAAAATAACGCAGTGCTCAATCGTAAAAAACTCTTCCGTGCAAAATTAAAGAACTAAAATTGCTATCTCTAGCAATTTTTCCAAAATAGATTTATTGTTCAAATTTTCTGTAAACAGTGTAAACCATTTTCTAAGGTCAATTTTAGGACCACAATCATAGTGGCCGCTAACTTTGCTAATCAATTACACAAGTATTTCATATATCATTCCCGTAGATCGTTTCAAAATATTGTTAGGAACATTTCCTCCGAAGACAACATACCTGTAAAATGCATTATCCCAATGCAAACCATTTTTTTTTTGTAACGCAATTCCAAACATTATATTTCTCACCTAACTTTTCAAAAGGTCCCATCTAACATTTCACTCTTTTCGAGAAAAACGAGGTTGAAGATTGACAAAATCTTTTTTGATACTATTTTAAACCAAACAACTTTTGACATTTTTAAGACCTTTAACAGTAAAATGCGATAGTAAAATTGAAATTGAAACTATAATCTACCCGTTTCATACATTTTTTTCCATGAAAACCTGAAAAATGTTACATAGGACATTTTGCTCTTGTCAGGTGTACATTGGACATGTTATATAGGACGTTTTGTTATAATCACAGTCATATAGGTCATTTATATTTTCAACATTATTTGTTTGTTTTTAAGCATAATTTAAGTTATACGAGTTAAACGAACAATATGAGTATTGGACAATGCATCAACTTTTTTTTTAACGGTATATCGCAACACTGCCCACAGATTGTTTTGGTCGAACGTTGGTGGTCGCGTGAGCTGCTTTTTATTTGATAACAATGTTATTTTAGGGGCTGTTCATTAACTACGTAGACAGCTTTTTGGTATTCTTGAACCCCCCCTCCTCTCCATGCTGAGACAATTACCCATATAAAAATTTTAAAATTTGAATTACCCCCCCCCCCCCCCTACGTGGAAATAGTGAAAAAATGCTTGACATAAAAATTCCGATGTGCACAATCACATTGTTTTGGTTTGTTTGAACATTTTAGACGTTTTACTCGTATAAACACAAAGGACCGAAGTACAGATCTGCATTGTTTTGGTTTTTCTGATACTTCAGACGTTTGTCTTGATGAACATAGTCAAACGTCTTATGTAACAGTGAAACATCGTTAATGTATATTTGGATTTCAGACGTTTTGTTAATTTTTATTTTTCTCAATTCAATTGACATTAATCTGAATGTTTGTGTGAGTGCATAATGTTTTTAGGTACAATGTTACAATGTGCATTTATAAACTCGATTTGTTCACATTTGTTACTTAGGACCTTCTGAAAAGTTTGTCGAGATTTCGTTTTCCTACACGGTAGTACCTAAAATACCCAAGTACCCAAAATTAAGTTCTTTTCACTCATCTCGACAATATAGTGCAGGAACCCAGAAGTAGGTAAAGCGGGTCAAAGTCATTTTCATTTACTTATGAGCAGTTCGTATGGAATTTTCCACTGACTTTTTAACCAAAAGTAAGTTAGTTGTACCCAACAGTAGGTAAATACGTTTAGGAGAGGTTGTTGAGAGAGGGGGGAGAGGTTGTTGTGATAGGGGGAGGGGGTTTACATACATTACTTTTCCTCCTTGTGGTCACGCCGTGATCCACCTTTAGCCGCTGATTTAGTCCTGCTTACTGCAGGAACAAGTGCCACGCCGTCCGAAACGTTAATGAGCAAAAGCATTTTGTATTGAATTGATCTTTATTTCTTGTATTTGTTTGGTTTACATGTATGGATTTTCAAGTGACACAGATGCGTCTTTTCAACTTTAGTTATTTTGAAATTTTAATTATTATTTGCTGTTCCTAGTCCTATCAGGCCTGTTAGAGTATGACCACCTTGGTGGGATTGGTTTGTTTTGAATTGGAAAAAGGAGACTACTTAAAACTTCTATTTACAGCTACAACTAATCTACAACTACTATATACACCTAACCTACTATATACAAATTGCTTATCAAAGCATGTTCTGATGCATTGCATTTCTGCACAAATTTGTTCCTAGTTTCGTTAATTTGAAAATCTACTTTTGGAATGTTAGCCTCTTGATGGAGGTCGGAAATGCGGGTATCGAAAGGACGATCTAAGATCATCCTCAATACCCTGTTCTGCGCTACCTGTATTGTGTTCCTGTGAGTTTGTGTACATGATTCCCACACCGGAGCTGCGTAGAAGATCGCAGGCGCAATGATTTGTTTGTAGACAGCCAGTTTGTTCACCCTAGAGAGACGAGATCTGCGGCAAATTAGCGGATACAAGCACCTAACTAAATTGGAACACTTAACTACTGCCCTATCTATGTGCGAGCGGAAAAGGAGTTTCTCGTCAAATAACATACCAAGATATGTTACTTCCGTGGACCACTCAACCCTTGTGCCATCCATTATTACAGTACAAGAGGGAGCCGGTTTTAGTTTGGGAGATTGTCGATGGAGGAACATTATTGATTGGGTTTTGGAGGCATTGATTTTGATTTTCCACATGTTAGCATAATCAGCAAAGGCTCCCTTGACGGTTATAGCGGTATCATCTGCGAACAGGAAGAACACGCCACCGTTGCCCAAGGGAGGAATGTCGGAAGTGTAGATGCTGTATAGCAAAGGGCCCAACAGACTTGCTTGCGGACCACCTGCTGGGATGGAAAAGGTGTTTGAATTGCAACCATTCAACGATACCTTAAACGACCTTTGCTGGAGGTAGTTTCGGGTGATTTTTACAAGATGTGGTGGAAAGTTGAAGTTACAAAGCTTGTACACAAGTTCGTCATGTCAGACATTGTCAAACGCTTTTTCAACGTCTAACAATGCCATGACTGTGGACTTGGATACAGCTTTGTTACTTCGAATGTTATTCATCACCCGAACTAGCTGGTGATTTGTGGAATGCCCCTTCCTAAACCCAAACTGTTCAGGTAGGAGAATGTTGTTCTCCTCGACAAACTTGAGTAAACGATTGAGAATTAGTTTCTCGAACAATTTGCTCAGCGCTGAAAGGAGGCTTATTGGTCTGTAGCTGGAAGGTAGTGATGGATCCTTACCGGGTTTGCGGATTGGTATGATTTTTGCTTCCTTCCAGATACTTCGAAAGTAGTGCAGTTCCAAGCATCTATTGAAGATAGCAGTCAAAAGCGAGTACACTTTCGTGCTCAGCTTCTTCAATACCAAGTTGAATATACCGTCAAACCCGGGAGCCTTCATGTTCTTGGTGTTTTTCAGCGCTGAGCAAATCTGTTCCACTGTAATATTTTCTGCCGGAGGGGCTACACAAGGGGAGGCATCCAATTTTTGTACACATTGTGAAACCTGATTTTCAAGCGGACTTTGGATGATGGAGCCAAGCAGATGCGACGAAGCAATGTGGTTGCCAATCGCATTTGCTTTCTCCTGCGGGGTGCCGATCGTCATCATTTTCGACTCTAAGAGGTGGAACGGGTTTGGGATGAGTTTTCAGCACCTTGGCTACCTTCCAGAATGGACGGGAGCGGTCATCCAGATTCTGGACAACACGCCCGAAACTTTCATTTCGGAGTGAGTCCATTCTGGAAGCAATCTGCCTGTTCAGATCGGCCATTTCATGTGTTTTGCTCAGATTTCCAGTCCTCTGAAATTGGCGTCTACGCACATTTCTCAAACGAATCAGTAACTGGGTGTGGGAATCAATGTCAACAAACTTACCCCTCACAGGAACTTGTCGAACAAACGTCTCGTCAGCCATGGATATGGCCTGATGAAGTCCTTCCAGAGCTCGGTCGATGTCCTCTACGGTGTCAAGCGGCGGATTTTTGTTAATGTTCCGGTCAACCACACGTCCAAACTGTACCCAGTTTACGTGGTGGTAGTCTTTTCGTAGGATTGGAGCAGGAGCTATGTTGATGCCGACCTCAGCCACCACCGGTTGGTGATCGGAGCTTAAGTCGTTGATTGCCACCGGCTTGGATAGCCCGAAGTTCGTCAGGAAGAAGTCCAGCGTGGAAGGATTTCCCGCCGGAGAGATGAATGTCGGTTCATCCGGAAATTGCACCGTATACAGCCCATGCTGAGAGTGGTCGAATAGTAGTCTATCGTTCTGGTTCCGTTGGTAGTTGCACCATGCTTCGTGACGAGCATTCAGATCACCCCCAACAATGAATCGGTAGCTCGTGCGAGTGATAGCGGTGAGGTCGTTCTTGAATTTTATCCTTAGTCCGTTGCTGGCAGCACACTAACGAGGGCAGTATACGGCGATGAACCGGACGTTTCCGGTTGGTGATTCCACCTCCCCACTAAGGGCCTCGATGATAGAAGTGCGGATATGCGGCAGCGTGCAGAACTTGATTCCTTTCTTGATGATGATCGCAACACCACCCCCCCTGGAGTCGATACGATCAAGCCGGATAATGTGGTGATCAAGCAACCAAAAGCTGTCACCGGATTTAAGATTGGTCTCTGTTATGAGGCTTACGTCGATACTATGCTTGCGGAGGAAGTCAGCAAGCTCGAGTCTTTTTTCTCTTACAGAGCAAGCGTTCCAGGCAGCGATAGTTAGCGGTTTAGACACCATACTGGATGATGAACTTACCGAGCACTTGGATCTGTTCGGGCTTGCTGCGGCACTGACGAAGAGCACCGGTCATGTCGATGAAAATCTTCATCAGTTCACCAGACGTTTCTTGACGGGGGCTGGATTGCACCCGCGGATTTACATGACCGTGTTGCGTAGCAGGAAGAGGTGGAAAATCCTCCACTCTGAATGCCGGCGTATTGTCCTTCTTTCGTCCTGGTTGATTTCTTGTGGACGCCTGCTTTGACGAAGCAGTTTCGGGTGCCGTGCCCGAAATTCAGGCAACGCTGACACTGGGTGACGTTGTGACGGCCGCCACGGTATGGCTCCCATCGGACAATGATGGAATTGATGGAGCGGATGGCCTTCAACGCATTTAGCGTCACCTTTCCCTTCTGGAAATGCACCAGGAAAAGGCAATCCGGATATTTCTTCACGTTCTCGTCCCTCCTTGTCATCCGGAAGAAGGCAGTTGGGGCCAGCTTGTAGCGGTTCTTGATTTCCGCTTCGATCAACTTCGGGTCAAAGTTGTGAAGACCCCTGATGACTACCTTGAATGGTTTCTCACCGGGAATGTCGTGGGTGAAAAATTCCACCTTGGTAGTCCTCAGGTGGGTAACGACCAAGTCATACTCCGCTTTCGTACGGAGAATAACCTTGGTGCCGACTCTGCCCAACTTGAATTCAGCTTTAACGCCCAGCGACGCCAGATCTGCGATGAGATCGTTAAGATGGGCATTTTCTACTACCAACGGAGGTAGTTTTACTTTTGCCGTGCTTGTGTCGGCAACGTCACCGAAATCTCCGACATCACTGCCGTTTGTCGCAGTGGCATCATCGCGAGAAATCGTGCAATCGGACTGGCTCCGATTCTTTTTCCTCTTCTTGTTGCGCTTTCCTTTTGCAGCTGGCTGGGTATGCCCATCAATGGGAAGAACAGCAAACCTGTGTGATGTGGGCACACCGGAGCTTCCTTCACCGGGGTTCTGGTCCTTCACCGGGCTTCGCGAGCGATGCTTCCCCATTTCGGGGCACACACACACACGCACAACAGACCACGAAAGAGAGAGCGCGAACACTAACTAAAAAAACTTTCCGAACAACTCGAGAGAGCGAGCTCTAACCGAACTAAACTGCTTGACGTTCAAGCAGAGAATGATGTTTTGGTGATCAGAGGCATGAGAGCAGCGCTGATTTATATCTTTTCAGGTTCAAGCAGAATGATGTGCAACCAAGTGGTATTCGTTTATGATGACTGGGTTTGGGAAAAAGGCTTATTTCATGAAATCAGTGATAAAATTATCATTTGTACATTTTCAAAAGTTTAATTACAGAAAATTTGGAAAAATGTTTAATTCACCAGATTCGTAATGTAATATCCTATCGATTGGCGTATTTGAATTTTAATTTCATCTATAAATGACAAAGTTACAAGCGTTCAAAACCTAACACTCCTTTACCACACATATTTTTTTGATTTGCACCCCAGTATAGTCGACAAAGGCGTAGTTCTACGTCAAAAAATAATAAATCGCCGTTGCTTTTCTCGCGAAAACTACTGTGAGCGTATAATATTCTCTCGCTTCTCACATTCTCTTTTATTTCTCCTAGCAGGTGAAAAATGACGTTTCTCTTCTCAAGTAGGCGAAAATTTCGATCTCTGATTTCAGTAGTAGAATTATTATAATTATACAACGAGTATAGATGAACCAGCCTAAGGCTGAAAGTCTCGTTAATAAAGGAAAAAAAATAATAATTTTACAATAATATTGTGATTACGAATATGTTCAAAATTTCAATACTTCCCATTTTTATAATTTGCAATGCTTGTTGGTATTGGTGCATTTCAAACTTGGGTGTGGTTTGAACGGGTGTGGATTCAGTATCAACGGAAAAGTATTAACTTTCACCTTAAATGTACAATTTTGTGAAAATGGTAAAATCAGTGCTGTCATGGTAAATTTAAAGCTACCAAGTAACCATAGGCACGTTATTTTACCTTTTTGGCTATATACAGGCCTCATCAGAACTTACAAACACTGATATAGCCGTTGATCAGCTGTATATAGCGAAAAAGGTGAAATAACGTACATAGGTACATTATGGCCCTTATTACCGATGTCACGTCACGGTGAAGTGACAACGCGGCACTCACGGTGAAGTGATTCCCATTTGATTTACACGGCAATCACTTCACCGTGAGTGGCAACTGGTCACTTAACTCCGTTTTGACCGTGAAGTGACACCCATAATATGGGCCGATTTCACCCTTTTCGCTTACAGCTGATCAACGGCTAAACTGCCGTGAATCGTATAACTGTAACATTTGGAATTTTATGGATTTCGTGATTTTGATGGAGAGAGCCTTAAAATAATATGTATTTTTAAACTCTGTAATAACATGTATATGTTTGTTCGAAAAAATTGATAAAAACATAGCAAGTAGCCGCCTCTCAAGGGTGAAAAAACTGGCTGTCTACAAACAAATCATAGCACCTGCGATCCTCTACGCAGCTCCGGTGTGGGAATCATGTGCACAGACTCACAGGAACAAAATTCAGGTCGCTCAGAATAGAGTGCTGAGGATGGTTCTTGATCGTCCTTTGGGCACTAGAATAACAAATTTACACGAAGAGGCAGGCATTGCCGAAATAGATTCTAGAATTAACGAAATTAGGACTGAATTTTCAAAAAAAAAAAAATTAATGTATCAGAACTTTCTTTGATAAGCAATTTGTATATAGTAGGTTACATAGGTGTATATAGTAGTTGTAGTTGTAAATAGTAGCTATAAGTAGTCTCCTTTTTCAAATTTAAAACAAATCAATCCCACCAAGGTGGTCATTCTTAAAAGAGGCCTGATAGGACAAGGAACTGTAATTAATAATAATTGAAATTTCAAAGGAACTAAAGTTGAAAAGACGCATCTGTGTCACTTTATAAGTTATACATGTTAACCACACAAGTACAAGAAATAAAAATCATTAAAAGTAAAAAAAAAATGCCCCTGCTCATTACCGGTTCGGACGGCGTGGCACTTGGTCCTGCAGCAGAGGAACTTGGAAATGTTATACAAGCAAACACAGCCTCGCCTCCCAAGAAAATATCTAGGGTGTTGAATTCTGAAAATAGTTGCAAAATAATTCTAGTGCAAATTGCAAGGTTAAATAAAAAAAAAATCAAGTGAATTATCCAGAGATGGTACCCAAAAGCATCAATATCGAGGGTACAATTGCAAAGAAATTATGAGAAGATTTTGAAAGGAATTCCAAAGACAATTTCGTTGAAGCAATTCTCCCACCTTTAAGTCCTTACGCCACAAATAACAAAGTATTCACTTTACGATTCGTAATTGAAAACCTCGTTCCAGCATCCCACAGTCCCGCACATTACTTCCGGCAACTTCTACACAGAACGAAAAAAATATAAACGAACAAGAAAAGCCCCCACCGGGCTAGATAATTGTCGGCAATTTGCTTTTTATCCGGGGTCGACGCCACCCGTTTTCCTTCCCCGTGCCGTGCCCGGTGTATATCTTTTCCATTTTCACGCCTCACCCACGTTCCACTTAAATTTCAGCTATCCCAAGCAAAACCGACAGAAGCTGCAGCAGGATTTTCTACTCCGCTCGCCACCCTCCCGGAAGTTGGCCGTCTGTGTTGGCCCAGCCCATCACAACTACAGCAACGCCGCCAGGGTTGTGGAATTCATCGAATACTGGCAACTGCTCGGGGCCGAGAGGTTCTATTTCTACAATAAATCCATCAGCGCCGAGGTGGACCGAGTGATGAGCTACTACCGCGAACAGAACGTGGCCAAAGTGCTCCAGTGGAATCTGAATGGTAAGTCCTTCGAGGAAAGCAATTTCACTTTAAATGTATTGCTCCGTCCCCTCTCTCAACGGGAAAGCTGGCTATGTTTCAGTGTTTCGTTCTAATTTTTCATCAAATTTGCCTTACGACTTAATTTAAAATCTTTTCCCATTACGAATGCCTTTCTTTTTCGCTGCAAAAGGCTATGAGTTTGAGCAGGAGCTTCGCTACGAGGGCATTTTTGCTGCCCTCAACGATTGTCTGTACCGGGCGACGATGGTGGACGATTTCCAATACACGGCTCTGGTGGATTTCGACGAAATTGTGCTCCCCTTGGAGCGAACCAATGGAAGTGAAACACTGGTCCAGTTCCTGGATCGCCGCGGACGGATCGGCACGCATTCGTTCAATTTTGAGGCGGTGTTTTTCTACGGCTTTTACGAGGAGGATTACTCGAGGAAGCCTAGCTGGGCGAACAATACGTACTTGTACACGCAGGTGCGGACGCTGAGGACGAAGCGGCCGCTGATGCATCACAATCGGAGCAAGTACGTGGCGGTTGGCAGGAATGTGATCGAAGCGGGGAACCACTTTGTGTGGAAGGGAATGAGGGGTGAGTTAATGGCATGCTTCTGGAAATTAGAAACTAAATATTGATAGCATATGATAGCAAAATGCACCTTTGACCCTTTTTACATATACATATTCATATTCCAACGAAGATGTTCAGAATTGGATCATTTTCAGATGTTCATATAAGTTGGTGAATTATAAGAGAAATGGTACAAGCAACATAAATTTCTCTTACGTCCCATGTAAGGTTGGATTTATTACATCCTCTGCATATGATTCATACAACAAATGAAATGGCAGTTCTTGCAATGAACTGCAGCGTACAAGCAAGTTTGTTTTTTCTTTGTATAAAACCTTCACGAGATGATTTTCTAGACGAAATGCATTTGGGGAATCAAAATTTGTTCAAGAAATAAGGTATCACAAAAATTACAATATTTATTTTAAAAACCTTCTGGCGAAACCATTACAGAATCTATTCATGCTAACTTTTCATACAAATCTGTAATAGAAGCGTACATTTCCTGGTTGGATGTAGATTTTGCAGAAATATTTTTTTCCTATAACATCATTTTAGAAAGCAAAGTGGAAAAAGCATTTGAAGGGCTGAGTTCTCTCGTTTTCTGAAAAATACATGAAATTATCATTAAAGAACGGGATTCTTTAGAAATCTTACAGATGACATGTTAATTTTATTTTCTTTCCATGATAAATGAACTCCGTTTTCCAACTTAGAACAACAAGGTTCGTGTTTTTAGCAAAACTTAAAACATTGGATTTGCGAATTTTTATGCTTTTATTTTCCCAGGATCGCACAAACTTGTTGCTTTGGAATGGGGGACCATTGTCACTTTGTATTACCAGATAACCCCATTCAGCGAAGATCTTATGTAAAGCTTTGATTGTTGATTCTGCATCCATGTGCTTCATCTCTATGACATGCAAATAACGTGAATAAGTATCCACAACTATGAGGAATTCGCCAAATCCAAACTCTTTGTCGGTAAAAAAGTCAATTTGTTATATCTCCCAAGGACCATAAGGAAGTTCTCTGTTGATTAGTGGAATAGATGGGTTCATTTTAGAGAGCAAAAGGCACGTTTCACAGCGCTTGATAAACGATTCTACCGCTGTACTCATACCTGGCCACCAAAAATGATCACGCAGAATTCTTTTAGTAGAACCAATTCCCATATGGCCCTGATGAGCCGACTCAATGGCCTTTGTTCTTAAAGCATTAGGAAGAACCTTTTTGTCGTTTTTGAAGACTGAACTACCGGAAACGCTAAGCTCCTTAGCTTGTGATTCATATCTGCGTAGACCATCCTCCCAGCAACCTGTCTCCATCGATGTTCTCACCTTCATTAGTTCGGTGTCTCTTTCTGAGTATTTTTCAATCTCGCTCCAGGAGATTTCTATAGCACCAGCATCAATAAAATAGAGCAAATGATTGTCATCAGCTTCACTATCAAATGACTCAACTGGTTGCGTTTGTTTAGCAAGCCTGGACAAAACATCTGCGACATTCATTTCACCTGGGATTCTTTTAACACTGAAGTTGTATGGCTGTAGACGCAACGCCTAGGACTCTGCTCTGGTCACTGCTCTTTTTTCCGATTCTGTGTAGACCTCCAAAAATCAACTCGTTGGATTCAGCATCCGTTCTAATTGTAAAATGTATACTCATTAGGTACACCGAAAATCTTTCGACTGCCCAGACCATTGCCAAGGCTTCTTTTTGTGTCTGGGGATACTTCTGCTCCGTAGTAGATAGGGCCTTAGAAGCACAGGCGGTCACTCTCGGTTTGGACTCGATGTCAAATTGTACTAGAACGGCCCCCAGGCCAAAGGGAGAAGCATCCACGAATAATTCAGTAAGGTTTTGTCTCCGGAAATATCCAAGGGTAGTGATTGCTTTCCATGCTGAATTCTTTAGAAACTCGAATTCGTCATCCAACTCTTCATTCCAGAAATACATTCCAGATTTTGCTAATGAGCGAAGTCTAATCGTTTTGTCTGCTCTGTGGGGAATGAACTTTTCGACAAAATTCACCAATCCTAAGAAGCTTTTCACTTCTGTTAATGCTTCCGGATGTCTAAAATTCGTTAAGACTGAAACTTTCTCATCTTCGATTTTCCAACCTTCAGGGCTGGTAGCGAGTGACTTTTTAGTGACTTGATCACTTTTTTCAAGCCAGTCACTAAAAAGTCTCCTTTTTTAAGGCCAAGTCACTAAAGTCACTTTTTCTTGTAATCAGTCACTATATTCCACTTTTTTTAGCGTTAATTTATTTCAAGATTTATCATTCTTTGCTTTATGACGCTAAATCGTCTTTCTCTATCTACAGAATGTCTACTCATGTTTCAAAATAAATTACCTGAGTTTTCCAGGTTTTTCCAGAACTTTAACTGATAAATTTCAGACTTGTAAAAAGAAAGCTATTTTAAAATGCGTTAAAATGTGCTTTTTTTTGGTAGATCAAAAACAACAGCAATTAACCGAAACGTATTTAAGACATACCAATCAGTTTAAAAGAAACAGCTTTAATATCAAATCCACTGAATGTTGAAGTTTATCAGTTACTTAATTTCTCACTTTATTAAAGTTAAACAAAAACTTACCTAATTTGAGTAAGTTCAAGATCTAAAAATAAACAATGTGCTGAAGTTTCGTATTCCATGTACAAGTTCAAGATATTGAAAATTTTCAAGGTGCCTGAATTAAGGAAAAAAAAAAAGATCGTAATTAACGTTCTGAAAGATTGGAGATCTCCATTGCAGTCCCATTTACTTCACAACAATTGGAGAATTTCTGAGGAATTGAAGGAAATGCTGAAAATGTCAGTGAAGCTCCATAAACAAACTGCGGGAACATAGGGGACACGCTGACAATATGGGAACTTACTAGAAGCTTTAAGAACCTCAAAGCGGTTAGCATCCAAAAAATTTCAGGAACTTTTATGAAGAGAACTTCACAGGTGTCACGTTAACTTGAGAAAAGTAGAAATCTTGAAGGGTATTTTGCAATTCTTTAAGAAGTTCTAAGCATCTCAGAAAAGCTAGATCTAGAGATCTTTGGGGAATTTCAGATTTTAAAAGCAGTTGCCGTAACTTTAGTCCAGACTTTTGGAGAAGTTTAAAGATCTATAATCGTAAATTTAGAAAAATTCAGGATAGTTCCATGATGCGCTAAAAAGAAAACGAGAACCTCTTTTGCGAGAATTTCAGGAAAATACAGACACCTTTAGTAAATTTATGAAAACTTGAAAAATATGTCAGCAACTTCACAGAAGATTCTCTGAACTTAATGCTGTTTATGGGAATTCCATTTATTTCCGAACAGAACTGGGATCTTCAATATAATTGAGAGCTTTGAGGAAGCTTCGAGAACATCAAGACAGATCAGAGAATCAAAGGGCAGTTCAAATATTTTCAAGGAAATTGTCGAAACCTTAAAGAAGTTTCGAGAAACTCATAGAATTTCCGGTAACTTCAGCAAAGCGCCTAGAGAATTTCAGGAACGTGATAAAAATGATATGAACATCCGGAAAACGTGAGAGTATTTTAAGGGTGTTATATCATAGAGATTACAAGAACTTAAAAAATGCGAAAATTTAGCTTAGTTGATAGTAGCGATATCTTCAAGAAATTCCAGAGAACTTCTAATAAATTTAGATATTTTAAGATAGTTTCATGATATTTAGCGAAGTTCTGACTCCTTCGAGAACGATCAGATAGCTTCAGAAAAATCCCATTAATATAAGCAAATTTGCAGTGACTTACAAGGAGTTCCGTGGAGTTATGGGGTGTTTCAACTTTCAAGAATTCAATATTGATCCGAAAACGTCTGAAGCATCAGGAAATTATGAATATATAAAAAAAAATTTCTGGATTATAAAACAAATTTAAAGAACTTCAGGTAAGCATAGAAAAGTTCAGGGAAAATTAGTCAGCGTTTTTAAAGTTTAGCTTCTTAAGAGAAATTTTGAGAATTTCAGAAAAGAACAAAGAAACTCAGAGCAGTCCGATTAACATTAGAGAAGTCGCATAAATTTTTAAGAAGTTCACAGAACTTCAGCGAATTGTTTAACTTTTAATGGAGATCCATGTTCGTTTTGCGAAATTGGGGAAAATTTTGAAAAACCTATAAAATTCATGGAAGTTTAAGAATTTGATGAGAAGTATTATGAGCATCAGGCTAGTTTCTCAAACTACAAAAGAACTTCAAGATGGTTTCATTATCTTCAGGAAAAAAATTGCGAACTTTCAACTAGTTCTGAAGACCTCGGAATAGTCTATTCCATATTCAACGGTTTCAACAAAGATTTCCATTAAAATATTCCTCAAAATTTCGATGAAGCTATCCTCCGATTACAATTTTCTTTTAGTTTTCCTTGAAATTACCTTGAATGTTCCAGAATAAGAAACCTTTTGGAAAGATTCTTCGAATATTCATTGAATTCATCTCACTCCTTCCCTTGAAATTCTACTCACATTGAAAGTCTCCTAAGAATTCATTTGCATGTCTCCTCACCAGATCCTTAGATTTCTTCTAATCATTTGTTTGGCAAATTCTCCTGAATTTATTTTTTTCCGAATTCCTTTGAAGATGTCCTGGAGTTATTCTCAGATTTAATTGAAATCACCTTTTTAGCATTTAAAAAAAAAATATTCCAAGGACTTATGTTTCGGGTTAGTTTTCTTCCACAAACTTTATGAAATCATCCTCATGCCCTTGTAATTTTCCTCTGAAGTTCATAGGAGTTTTGCTCCTCAGAAATTCTTTAGAGTTTTAATTAAAATTTACTTTTAATTCAATTCAGGGTTTAATGAAATTCTACTCAAAACCATCAGGCTTCACATTAAATCTTAAATTTCTTAGAACTACCTTGAAAGCAGATGGCATTTGATGTATTTCTGAAAGATTTTTTTCCCAGAACTCCCTTGGAATGAGGTCCTTCAAAATTACACGATCAAAGGCTCGCAATTGTGCATGGAATTTGACTCCGAATTCTTGGAAATTTCTTGAAGTATTATAGT